ATGTGTAACAATCGCGAAAACCTAAGAAGTCTATATTTCTCATAATTACAACACTTTTTTTCTAAATACACTACTGTAGTAAATTAATTACTACTTAGTTACACATCCAAAATAAAGAACAAAATACATATAACATATACAATATAATTTGTGATTTTAGAGGGAGGTATTACCCGCTCTACGTGCATATTTTCCTTGAACTTTAAGTAAATATGCCATGCTATTTCAATCTCTTACTATTAGAGACAGACTCTTAATATTGTGGTTCTATAAAAACTTTAGTATTAACGTGTAGTAATTTGATTTTTTCCTTTTGTGTAAAATATTATTTATTGTTACGTGAGCTGTAACCATGTGGTAACTGTGTAAAATGTCGTGTCTTCTTCTGTAATGCAATTATTATATTTCTACAAGTGATTTTATTATCACATACGTCGGCTTTGTGTAGAAAGGGCGTAAGCGACATTTCGAACTTTTTCAGAGGAGCCTGTTTTAGGTTTTAGCGACTTATCGCGTAACATAAAAAAAATCGAATTGAGAGCCTCCTCCTTTTTTTCAAGTCGGTTAAAAATAAATATTGAAAATAAAACATCATTTATGTATACAGTCAATGGCGTGGCGCGAGAAATGGGGTATCGACACCACACTGGAAACCTGGCAAGCTCCTGAGGTGCTGGAGAAATACTTCCCCAGTGGCAGCACGGGCTTCGATAAAGAAGGCTCACCGGGTAATTATTTTACGAATAACTTTGCGCAGTGCAGTATTAGTATTAAAGATAGAATGCCGAACTGAGTAGTAATAAACCGTTCTGGTATAACGGTCATTCTCGGTGTTTACAACCTAAAGTCCATGGCAATTTTTATTATTTAAATATTTAAGTACATTATCGTGTAATTATTTAATAATATTTCACGATACAACACTTGAATATTAAATAATATTGTACGGTAAAAAAATCGAATACTTAAATAATAAAAATTGCCACGGAAATTAAATACTGAAAACTACGTTGATGTTTCGTAGAAAGGGCGAAAGCGCCAATTCGATAAATTTTTCCGGGGATGTTTTTGATTTTAAAGACTGTTTTAAAATATTTACGTCCTGTTTTAAAATTCAAGTTTGGTATTATTGAATTTTATTATTTAAAATTGAATTTAAAACAGGACGTAATACCTATTTTAAAACAGTCGTATGAAAATTAAACACGCTCCCCTGAAAAAATCATCGAAATGACGCTTTCACCGTTTCTACAAAACATCGACGCGACTAGTCCGAGAATGACCGATGAAAGATGATCTAGTGGCCAGGATAGAGATAGGATGCTTCGATGGTTTGGCCATTTTGACGACACAAATCTATAGAATGAATGTAAATGGAGGCGTGTGGAGAGGCAGAGCTCCGTGTTCATATCTCAATCAGATTGGAGATATCCTTAAAAAAAGACCGGGTTAAAAGTACCAAAAATAAACGGTGAAGAGACTGATGGAGGCGAAGGAGGTTTGTCAGGAGCGTAGCAAGTGGAGGTTCATGGCCTCTGCCTGCCGCCGGTGGAAAACAGGTGTGGCATGTATGTATGTATTAACGTACCTTTTTTTTATTATGCCATTTTTTATCATAAAAAACTCGCTTCAAAAGGTCACTTGATCTACACAGCCGCTGCAGTGCCACTTAGAGCTTTAAATCGCAAAGATCTGAGGGGCACTGCTAATGCACCCGTCACGTCGAGACATAAGTTTGAAAGGGTTGTAACCCTAACAACCGTGATCACGATCACGGCAGTAAAACAGGAAACTTCCGGTCCACAAATTTATTTAACGTGAATAAAAGGTAAAGTAAGGAAAAAAAACTGTAACAAATAAAAGGTAAATGTAGGAAAACAGCATTAATAAAAAAACACTCCCTTACGTAAACCTAAAATTGGGTTGTATTACAGTATTACAGATAGACCGTTATTCGCTTATTATGGTCGATACATGATTTTCATTGATTGTATTATGATTAAACTTGAAAAGAATAAAAAAAATTAGACAATTTGATTTAGGGCGCGTTCCCACTATGTCGTCACGTTTTATTATCGTTGGACGACTGTCTAGCCTGTTGCCATATCACGACTATCTGTCGTGGACGATTTTTTATCGTTGAACGACTGTCGTGACTAGCTGTTCCCACTAGATCGTGACGACAATTTACCGTTTCACGACAGCCTCCTTGTCGTTTGCACGACAGAATCGTTTGATGCACTGCAGTCGCTTGTATGTTCTTTTGGAAGCCGGTAGTGTGTGTTAGCTCGAAATGGATGACGACGAAATTTTAATAATGTATTACTTATTTTTAAAAATGCGGAAAAGGAAGCAAACAAAGAAGAGAAAATATAACGTGACGTATAAAATAAAACGTAACGACAATAGGAGCTACGACAATCTGTCGTCACGTTTTTATCGTGACGTTTTTTTATGGTATGACGACTGTCGTTCTAGCTATTCCCATGTGACGTCAGTTTGTCGTTGTAACGATAAAACATTGTGAACGACAGTTAATCGTGTCGTGCTATGTGTGAACAACTTCATTTAAATATACAAGCCACGACACTGTAAACTTCATGACAATCTGTCGTCACGACATAGTGGGAACGCGCCCTTAGTAGTATCCGCTGTTGCGGTCAAGCAGGGAGTGACTGTCGAAAGAAATAAAATCAGAATGCGAAGGAAAATGGAACAATTCAAAATTTTTAATTTAAATATGAGTAGAGGAAGAAAAAACGATACGATACGAATGGAGAGAGGCGATACAAAAAGGTGGGATGACGGTGTAAGGAGGTCACACCTTCACAAGTTGACAAGTCTCATTTACCTGTTACACCTGGTACACCAGCACCGTTACCCTTCAAAACCGGAACCACAGATTACTTAATAGTTACCTACTACGTAACCGGAACGCAGTAATGCTGACAATACTGCAGTACTTTCCTGGACAAACTCCTTTACAAGGAGCTCTATTGCTACGATGTTGTGATACAGTATATATACAGTATAGTATAGAAAATTGGTGTGGTTGGAATTGGGCACATTGTATAAAAATTAGATACCAGGTTACGACCAGTCCCATATTATTCTACATAAGTTTTGTTTACAGTGCCCCTCCCTATTGGTTATACGAGAAGGGCACTATGACCTGTGCGTACACAGGAACCTTACAAGTTCGTTCTGACCCCAGATCAGCCAGTGTACAGGGTTCTCACAGGCCTCTGTCACTTGACTTCATCAGGTTCTTCGAGAGGCTAGTGCCTCGGGTGAGCCGCCCCGGGTGCACGTACAGTACCCTCCCTATTTTCCAGATAGGTACCGGAGCCGTAGGCACGCTCACTTCCCGTTGCGCATTGCACAAGTAGCGGTTGCCACAAAAACCAGCTTACGACCAGCCGAATGGCCTTGTTGTAACTGAAATTGAATAGCTTCGAAAACGTGTTCATTTATTTCAGTTATTAAATATGATTCAATACTAAGTGCCTTTACAATTAGGGAAATCACAGCATGCAATGGAAATAAAGTATTTAAAAATTAGCTAAGTATAACGAAAGTTTTTTTTATCTTAGATAGTAACGTTATACAAGACCGGTCATTGACATGAAATTAATAATAAATAATAAATAAATATATAACACACACACTCAACATAGCCCCGCACTAGGGAAACCCTGTGTCGCGGGTGCCATGGACACACACATAGACAACCACAAATTACACCCAAACTCACGAGAGAAATAAATGTAAGGCATACAAACATTTCTCCCGGCCCGGGAATCGAACCTGGGACCTCTGCGTGGCAGTCCGGCATGGTAACCGTTCGGCCGCAGAGGCAGTTAATTCGTCGCAATTATCGTGACCTGAATTCGTCAACTGATATGCACCTACTGCACGGTGTATCTTTGTTTTATGATACTTAAGTGACGGGACGAACAAGTCGTACGCCTGGTGGTAAGCAACACGCCTATCATTAACAGCTGCAGCGCTACTATCAGAGGGACATTGGCAATGCGTCCGTCACCCTGAGACATAAGTTGATATGTGCCCTGTGCAAAGAATTATCAATTTCAATAAAATCTTTGTACAGTATTTCGCTGGCGAGTAAGTAAGTTTATGTACCTAAATCATTGACTTACAAATAAATGGACGACGGGTCTAATACAAAAACCACGAAAAAAATGTCCCAAGTCAACCTATTCGAAATTTAAATTGTTATGTCATCGCAGTATCGCGCTGTCCGTAGAACAAATGAAGACTAAAGCGGAGTGTCGCGCTCTGTATACGATTTTAGCGCCTTACAAGTGCGGACACTTTTTAACGCGGACCCGACGTCCATATAATTGTAAGTCAATGACCTAAATGATTTAATTTGCAGTAAACGTGTATTCGGCAGAAAGTTCGGCAATTTTATCGAATTGTCGCGGTAAACCTACTGAACATTCCGATCGTAAAAAGAATATTCAGCCCACTCCTAATACAAACAGCTCATATTGCAACATAATAGATAAGAAATTAACATTAGGTAAAGTCATGTCCAATATTTTTGAAAGCGCAAATATAATCCAGATTCAGTTTATCGTAATTTCACCAGCACCCTTACCCTTCAAAACCGGAACGCATTACTGCTTCATGGCAGAAATAGATAAGGTGGATGCAGTACTTTCCTGGACGAAATCTTTCACAAAGGGCTATACTGTTACTACTGTCTGTAAAATTGTAGATCAGGAGGATTCATCTGCTCTTGTCACAGGTTTAGTCAAGACTCTTCTTGACTTGGTATAGGCTGCTGGTTCAAATCCGATATGAAAGATCTCTTGTAGAGTCTCGTCTGCATACCTAATTGTAGGTCAGGTGGAGTCCTGACTAAACCCCTAAACAGAACAGACGGCTCCTCCATCTATCTGGACAAGGAGAGTGCAGTACGTGCACCTGGAGGCGCTCACCCAAGGCACTAGCCGTTTGAGAACCGGATGAAGTCTATTCAACAGGCTGATCTGGGGGTTAGGCCTTCGATGTATTCATTGTTGGAAATAATTTATCTGTCTTAGGCACTATAAACAGAACTTAAGTAATATGATATAGGACTGACCTATTAATTGTACAGACAGAAGGTATAAATAAGTTATTTCCAAAAAATTTGAGACGAAAAAAGTTTCTTTTTAATGTTTTGTATGTTATAAGTACTTAGGAAGAGTTTAAAACCAAACCTAGAATATTATTATAAGATGCATTTCTGTCCTTCCTTCCCTCTTTAATACGTCTAAATCTTATCAAACTTAAAAGAAGCCAATGAAGTCTTGCAGAGCGACTCGTTATCTAAGGTCAATTGACCTGGCAAGTCAATTAACCTTAGATAATCAGAACTAAAACGATTGCAGGCTTACATCATTATGATATAACAATAATTTTGAATTCTATTTTACTTTTATAATACCAAGTGACGGGATGAACAAGTCGTGCGCCTGGTGGTAAGCGACACGCCTGTCTATAGCAGTTGAAGTGCTTCTCAGAGCTTTATATGGCACAGGAGCGTCTGAGGAGCACTGCCTCTGCGTTCGTCACCCTGAGAAGTAAGAAGTCCTATGTACCTGTAATTTCACCAGCCTTACTTACTTAACCTTCCAAACCGGAACGCAGTAATGCTCACATTATGGCTCAAGAGGGAGCGCGATTGCTACTAAATTAAAAATATTGATTGCTTACTTTAATAATAACAATAAACCATTTATTTCAAGCTATAGCCCATAAGATAATGGCTTTAGTTACAAAAGAAAACCATAGAAGTAGGTATGTTAGTATATGATTACAATGAATATTGAAAATTTGATTAAAAAATTTAAAATATTGAACTACAAAAATTAAAATAGTATTTATTTCCTCTGATGAAAAATCCCAAACGGACATAAGAATGCAATAGTAATTAATATGTTTAACAACCGTGACCATGGGCCCTGTAAAGGGCGCGAAACATCGGTTTGTTTGAAAAACAAATATACGCGGTTTAAATCCGGAAAAATAGTTTCATTTCCTAATATGTTTAAATTTATTCTAATTTCTATTATTAATTAATAATAAACTTAATAAAAATTCATGCAATAAAATAATTTGTAAAACGTAATGTTGCCTAAATTGCAATGTTTCTTTGTAAAATTAAAAATAAGGTATTTAATTAATAACTTTTGTAATTATAGTGAAAAAATAGAGTGGTTTGCATTAATATTAGACATAACTGGTTGATGACCGTACCACCTCAGTCAACCGTGACCATGGGACCTGTAAAGGGCCCGAAACCTTGGTTTGTTTGAAAAAACAAATATACGCGATTTAAATCCGGAAAAAATTTCCTATGTGTAACAATCGCAAAAACTTAAGAACTCGATAAAATATTAAAATTAAGAAAATGCACAAATTATTACTTAATTTGACCAGTAGCGATCTCAATTCAAAACTTTAAAATTGTACAGACAAAACGATGGGCAAGCATCTTCAGGATGCCATTGCCACTGTCACATTGCAAATTGTTCGCACCCATTTACCGATTATCAAATCCATTACTCATAATCCCATTCATAAAATTGTTCGCCTCTCTCGCTCTACCATTTGATAATTCGCTATAAATATAGCTACCATCAAGTGAATGTGCATTCACATTTCTCCATATGTAGGTCGTTTACGCGACGTGGTGTCATTGGCATCAAATCAGTCTACTCTAAAAAAAGGCATATTATGGTCACGAGGGCAAAAAGAACATTAATATCTCATTAGAAAACGTTACAGAGCAATTCAACATTGCTACAAGAATTTCTAAAGTTAAAGATTCTGCTTCGTCTAAATTATAGGAAAGTGCAAAGGGAAAAAGTGGCAGGTGAAAACCGAGACAAAGTTACTTAGACCAGGGCCCTAAGTTTGCTAATTTTCCTAAGATTACATTGCAGTTATTATAATACTTATTTGTTATTATGCTAAAATCCAGTTGCAAGGGCAGTTGAGTCTTAATAATGCGTACACACTTAGGGCGCATTTATTCAACACGAACTTCACGCGTGCGTCTTAATGTGAGGCTTGACGAGCGTAATTTTGTGAGTTGTGTTTTTTGAGTTGCGCAGTTTGCGCTCGACTGAAATTCGGTTGGAGTGCTACACAGACGAACGTATTTTATTTTATTTGGCTGCTTTTCGTCACACGCCGCGACTGAAAGTCAGTCGTCATTACGCCCGTGAGTCGGCAGATAACTCATTTTGCGTCGTCGTGTGAAACAAACCGTACTTTTATATGAAACCGAATGCAGCGCAAACTACGCAACTCGAACTACGCGATTCACAACTCACAAAATTACGCTCGTCTGGCCTCACTCTAACTGTCACTGTAAAATATGCTTTATTTACCTAGCTTTTACGTTTTAACTTAAATTAGCGTCCCGAGCACCACAAATGTTTTGATAGACCCCTATATTCACAGTGATCATAGTCCCGTTCGTGGGTTTGGACGCATGGGGACTGCTGCACTCCATCACCAAGACCGATGTCATCCGTATGATCCTCCGCCACCTCGAGAACTACCTCGCCATCGCCAATAAGCAGGCTGTTACACATGGACCTGCTGCTTTGAAGGTATTTCTTATAATAAATATTACATGATTGAAATCACATCAATTTATTAAAAGTTTGAAAGTGACGTGTTACGAAATTTTAAAGAACCAATTCTTTCAACAATAACGATGTCCAGACTTGATACTCGCGTTACAATTTCAGTGTTTATAAGTAACTTTTTCGTCTTAACCTGGCCTATTTTTAAATGACAACAAAACTTCTTTTCCTTATTATTCCGGAATCAATTCAAAATTTGGTTAATTGAGATAAAACACTTTACGATAAAAATATGAGATTATTTAAAAAAATAATCTGTCTGTCGGTCATACTTGTTGTCCTTTTTCGGCCTTCTCAAAAGAACTGACTGTCGTACGTACTTACTTTTCACAATCCTACATATTGTCATATCATAATATTATCTATCATGTACAGGGTTATATTATTAATATTTTAAACAACAACTTCTGTTCCATGACTGTTTACAAAACGTAATAACTTAATCAAAAATAAACCTTTTATAAATACTGAGTTGTTTAGCAAGAGTGTCAGCAAACACTTTTTGGACTCGGCTGTTCTTCGACTACACATTAATTTGACGAAACACTACTTCGACAAAACACATGTTCGACAGGTCACTAGTCCGACAGAACAGTGCTTCGACAACACAAACATTCGATAGGTCACTATACCGACAGAAAACGACTTCGACAACACATTTATTCGACAGGTCACTATTGCGACAGAGCATAAAATATTTAAAATAAATATTTGTTTAAGAGACTACTTAAGGACCACTTCATTCTTGAGCGGAATATCTCGTATACATAAATATATCTGAGGAATAATTAATAACTAGTTACGCAGTTATTTGTAGATTTCATGTTCTGTCGGATGTCATGTAGTGACATGTCGAACATGTGTTGACGAAGTAGTGTTCCGTCGAATTAATGTGTAGTCGAACTACTGTTGAGACGAATTAGTGTTTATCAAAATTAGAATGATACTTCAGTTCAGCAACGCCTCTCGCGTGATGTCATTCATAAAAATTTTGGTGGTGTGTGCTTTCTTTAGATACCGCACAGAATTATCTATCACCAATCAGTATATCAATATATTTTTGTACGAAAGTACAATCTAATTAATTATTAAAAGCCAATGGAACAAAAGTTGTTGTCTATAGATGATCCAGTGGCGAGGCGTGAACATTGTCTTAATAAAGCCGGAGTAAAACAAAAAACACTTGCCTTATCAAGTGGCGCTTTGGCGACAATTAAACACAACGCTTATAAACACACAAGATACTAGTACACTTTATTTCACTGGTTAATTATTCTACACGTAAAATTGACCACAAATGTAGTAAATTACTTTAAAATATTTATATGGGAATCGAGATTAATGGATACCTTGTCACTGATAGCAATATAGTCTTCTTTTTTATATATAAAACAAGTGCGCATTTGTCCTCCATCTCACCTGATGGAAAGTGATGGTGAGGTCGACGATGTAGCCTGCACTTCTAAATAATGCCTATTCACTTTCACCTTGAAAAGGTCCAAGTTATAGCGTTCGGGGAACAAGTCCGCAGGCAGGGAATTCCACTCTCTAGCCGCTCGCCATATAAATGTGGAAGCGTAACGCTTCGTGCGAATCCTGGAAATATCCACGACATAGGGGTCCCAGCCCACGTCTAGTCCCCCGATGAGGGAAAGAGGAAGGCGGAATCAAATTATGCAATTCCATCGCACACTCTCCGTGATATATCCTGTAGAATACCGATAAGCAGGCAACTTTACGGCGGTGTTCAAGGCTCTGCAGTTTCGCCTCTACTAACTTCGAGTCACCTTTAAGCCTCTTAGCACGCTTGTCTATTAAATCCAAGGTGGCCAGTTGGTATTTAGCAGAGCCATCCCACAAGTGGCAGCAGTACTCCATACACGACCGGACTTGTGCTTGGTACAGCTGAAGCAACTGTCCCGGTGTGAAGTAACGCCTCACCTTGGAAAGGATGCCAAGCTTCCTGGCTGCATTTTTGGCCATGGATGCAATGTATGTGCCGAAGTTCAGATTGGACGACAGGTCCATTCCAAGTAGCTGGAGACGGTCGGCTATCGGTATGGATACATCACGAAAAGTCGGAGTCAGGTGAAAGGGACTCCGTTTTGTGGAGAATAGACACGCCTGCGTTTTGGTAGCATTAAATTTGACAAGGTTGGCATCGCCCCAATCGGAGACTGCCTTAAGTGTCAAATTCACACGACTAACCATGGACTTTCGACAAGACTGGATTTCTTCTCCACTGACCCTTGCATTGGTCAAGCATCTGTCCACAACTGTGCTGTCATCAGCATGCCCAAAGGCTCCTGGAATTAACATATCATTGACATGCAGCAGAAAGAGAGTTGCGGACAGTAAGGAACCCTGAGGAACGGCATCTATCGCCCGATGTTCGGAAGAGTAGCCTTCTAAGACCACTCGAATCGAACGTTCACTCAAGAAATCCGAAATCCAGTTGCAAAGGTCAGTGGAAAGCCCATAAAAGGGATTGCTTAAACGTCTTGCGTGTCAGACCCTGTCAAAGGCTTTAGAAATGTCTAAAGACACTGCAAGAACTTCGCCATGTCTTTCTATAGCGTCGCTCCATAGATGAGAGGCGTACACAAGAAGATCCCCAGTAGATCGCCCTCGTCGAAATCCGTACTGGCGATCACTGAGGAGGTCGTTGTCTTCAAGGTACGACAGGATACGGTTGTTGAGTACGCGTTCCATAGTCTTGCAGAGTATGGAAGTGACTGAGATAGGTCTATAGTTGACAGGGTCAGCTCTGCTTCTTTTTAGGTACTGGTTGCACGTTTGCAAGCTTCCACGGCTTGGGAACTACACTAGTCTCAAGTGAGAGGCGATACAAGTCCCGCGAGGTTGTTAGAATTTTTAATTTTACAAATAACCCTATACATTAGTATTTTGTTACTCATATCTACAATAATATTTACATAACACAATTATCACATCACTAATTATGTGTATATCAGTAATTAAAAAGATAAAAATTCAATGCATTATCAACATTATCAATCAAACTTATACGCGCTGAAATACCCTTACACGTTCTACACGTAAAATTGTTTCATAATAACCAATCTGACAACATTACTTCAACATCTAGACCGGTTTAAAGTAACACTAGCTTACAAATGTAACTTGTACCAGTAACCTTTCCAAAATCAGTCTTTTTCGAAAATTTCCTTACTAAATTGCTTACGTGGAAAATTTATATGAGAGTCTTTGTTATCGTCTGTAAGTAAATTCCTTGACCTTCAGGCGTGTTGCGGTTTGCTATGCACAAACAAATATGATTCAATGCACATCCAGTCACTTTCGAGATAGTCAGTTTAAAGTTTAAAAGCGTTTCTCACTCTTGTTTTATTTTCAAAACTTATAATGTCATATCGAGTTCTTAGGTTTTCGCGATTGTTACACAAAGGAAATGAAACTATTTTTCTGGATTTAAATCGCGTATATTTGTTTTTTCAAAAAAAGACATAAGACTGCAATACTAATTAATATGTTTTGGTTTATTCTAATTTATATTAATAATTAATAATAAATTCAACTTAATAAAAATTCATGCAAAAAAATAATTTGTAAAACTTAATATAGCGTAAATTGGAATGTTTTCTTTGTAAAATTAAAAATAAGGTATTTAATTAATAACTATTGTAACTATAGTGAAAAAATAGGGTGGTTTGCATCAATATTAGACATAACTGGTTGAAGACTGTACCACTTTAGTCAACCGTGACCATGGGACCTGTAAAAGGCCCGAAACGTCGGTTTGTTTGAAAAAACAAATATGCGCGATTTAAATCCGGACAAATAGTTTCATTTCTTATGTCATGTAACTCCAGAGATAGTTATTTATGTTTATATGTTGGATTTTTTAGACTTTTGGAACCGTTTGGTACATATAACTGATTTTTTGATAATTTTGTAGATTGGATCCTTTTTGTTTAACTACGTCCAATTGTCAGTAGATAAATTTTTTAAAAGAGACGAAACATGTAACTTGAGAGTGCGTAACACCTTCACAATAATTTTTTTTCACTTACGAAACCTGTATGCGTTAATGATGTTGCCAATATAGTACTTAATTAAGAGATGACTATAACAAGGAACCTGATTGCAACATGATATTGACTGGTGCAGACCAAAAAGGTTTCAATTTGAAGTTGATTTGAAAATTATTATTATTTATTTATTTAATTTTCTTAACTAAACATAAAAAATGTATGTATACATTATGACTGCGGTGTCCAAATGATCCATATTCATGTATTACTGTTACTGTCTGTGAAACAGCTTTTATTATAAGTTTCCATCCTGATGATATTCAAAATTTGCCATTCACGAGGTTTAAAACTACAGTGAAATAATAGTACATTGTGTCTGGGCGGTAAATAAGAAATTACTAACCTTCAATGACTCGGGGTTTGGAATTTTTTACCTCCCGTGCTAAATACTTACGTCGTTCATCACATTTGCAAATAAATATAATGATAATTTATTTCTTGTATGAATAACAATCACAGATTTTACAAATGGCGGCTTAGAATAATAACGCATAGAATGATAGTTTCATATCAAACGAACTGTCACAAGTGAGGCAAAAACCAAATTCATGTAGGCGTAAGCAACTTGTAACTACGCTCGTCGGCACGCACACAAATATACAAATAATGATGCCATGGAATAACATTTCCCTCAAAAGTGGGGAAATTGTATCTTGCTTAACTCATCATTAAGTTAAAGGTGCCTACAGATTTGCCCGACATTGTCGATCAGGTGCCTACAGATGTGCTCGGTTTTGTCGATGAAAAACGAATATAGCACTTATTTGTAAATCCAAGATGGCGGACACGATTTTTCAAAATATGCTATATGGGTATCCTTTTCGAGGTATTTGGGGATGCTCATTACGAATATGGCACTCATTTC